CCTGCTGCGGCTGAAGATGGCCTACACCAGCCTGTCCACCGACAGCCTCAACAGCAGCAGCACCAGCGACGGCTACTGCACCAAGGAGCACATGAAGCCCTGCCCCAGGGCCGCCTTCCTGGACTACCGGGATGAGCTGCAGCGCTACCAGAAGAGGCCCAGCAGGCTCGACCTCAAGAGCATCCTGGGCAAACCGGAGCGGGCCGAGCCGCCCGCAAGGGAGCCGGCTGAGCCAGACAAACCCGAGCAGCGGGAGCTGCCCGAACGGGCCAAGAAGATGGTGACTTTCCCCAGCCCCAAGGTGCCGGAGAAGGAGACGGAGTGGAAGAAGGAGGTGGGCACCAAGGCCCCCACCGACCCCCATGTTCGCACCATCAAGCTCTCTCCATCCTACCAGCACATCCCCATGCTTGAGACCCTGGCCAAGAGCAGCACGGCTGCTGGCCACCAGCCTTCCCTCCTGGGCAGGAAGCAAGCCTGGCTCCCCCCAGCACTGCTGCAGGCGGCCGAGCCCCTGAGCAAGATCCCGGAGAAGCTGCCGGCCCAGCCACCGGCCTCGGCGGAGCAGGAGTCGGTGCAGAAGTACTCGGTGGAGGACACCCCAATCTGCTTCTCCCGGTGCAGCTCCCTGTCGTCCCTGTCCTCGGCAGACAATGTGCTGGATGGGCAGAGCCACAGCGAGAACGACCTGGATAGCGACTCCTCCCTGGAGATCCTGGAGATGGAGGAAGGGGACGCAGAAGGGGAGGATGGCAGGCAGGAGAAGGAGAAGGTGGTGGATCCAGGTCCCACCACGCCGGTGGGGATCTCCCAGCCCATCACCATCCCCTTCCCGAAGCGTGACAAGGTTTTCCTGCGGGAGGCCTCGCCCTCGCGCCAGGAGGACCTGACGCCCTCCAGCTCCTCAGAGAACTACATCCAGGAGACGCCACTGGTGATGAGCCGCTGCAGCTCCGTCAGCTCCCTGGGCAGCTTCGAGAGCCCCTCCATCGCCAGCTCCATCCAGAGCGACCCGTGCAGCGAAATGATCAGCGGCACCATCAGCCCCAGCGAGCTGCCTGACAGCCCCGGGCAGACCATGCCCCCCAGCCGCAGCAAGACCCCGCTCTTCGAGCTGGGCTGCCAGCCGGAGAAGGAGACCAGCCAGTTCAACATCCAGTGGGAGAACAACGTCAAGAAGTTCATGGAGATCACCGACTTCAAGGAACGCTTCCAGCTGCCCCAGGACCTGGACTCCATGGTTTACTTCACGGTGGAGAAACCCAACGAGAACTTCTCGTGCGCCTCCAGCCTGAGCGCCCTGCCCCTCCACGAGCACTACGTGCAGAAGGACGTGGAGCTCAAGCTGATCCCCACCTTCCCGGAGAAGAACAGCCTGAACTTCGCGGCTCACGAGAAGCGCGAGGAGCGGCGGGAGGAGCGGTACCTGGAGGGCCGGCGGAGGGCGGAGCGCCCCGAGCCTCCCGACGACGACGACATCGAGATCCTCAAGGAGTGCATCAGCTCGGCCATGCCCTCCCGCTTCCGCAAGGTCAAGACCTCGCTGCTGTCCGGGCAGGTGCTGCACCCGCAGACCAAGAAGCCGCTGCACGTCCCCGTGTACATGCTGGTGCCGGCCCACACCCACCCCGGCGTCCCCAAGCACCTGCGAGCCACCGCCCGCGACCTCTTCAAGGACGACGACTCCTTCACCGACTCGGCCGACGGGACCCCCGTCAACTTCTCCAGCGCCGCCTCGCTGAGCGACGAGACCCTGCGGTACCCGGCGGGCGAGGAGGCCGAGCACCCCCTGGCCGAGCGGCGCCGCCAGCCCGGCACCATCCCGGCCCGCAGGGCCGCCTCCGGCAGCTCGGCCCCCGCCCGCCTCGGCACCGCCGGGAAGGGCAAAGCGGGCCCGGGCCGCGGGGAGGGGAAGCGGGGCCAGACCCTCCCGAAGGGCGCAGCCAGCCTGGAGCTGGGGGTGGGCCGCGCCAGCGGTGCCCCCGGGAGGAAGGATGAGGCTCTGGAGGACGGGGTGGTGTTCCAGTCGCTGTGCCACACCACGCCGACGGAGGAAGCCGTCTACTGCTTCTACGACCCGGATTTGGACGAGCTGCCCGAGGCGGGCAGGGACGGGTCCGGCAGCAGAGCCCAGCCCGGCCGGGCGCCGCGGAAGGAGCGCTGGGGAGGCTCCGTCCCGCAAAAAGACCCCGAGCCCGGCTCCCGTCCGGCGAAGACGAAGCCTCAAAACAACCTGATCGCCGACGAGACGCCGCCGTGCTACTCCCTGAGCTCCTCCATGAGCTCCCTGAGCGACGCCAACCTCTCCGAGGGCGAGGAGCGGGGCCAGCCCTGCGGCAAAGCCGCCTGGCCGCGGTCAGCCGCAGCGGGGCAGGCGCAGGGGGGCTCGCCCAGCTCCCCCAGCCTCAACTCGGAGGATGATCTGCTGCAGAAGTGCATCGGCTCGGCCATGCCCAAGCGCCGGCGGCCCGCGGCTCGCCGCAGGCCGGTGGAGAGAAAGCAGAAGCCGCCGGGCACCGGAGGGAGGGAGCGGAAAGCCGAGGCCAGGCATCACCCCGAGGAGGAAGCCGGCTCCGACCGGGGCTCCGACCGGGGCTCCGACCTGGACAGCGTGGAGTGGCAAGCCATCCAGGAGGGAGCCAACTCCATCGTCACCTGGCTACACCAGGCTGCCGCCTCCCTGTCCCGGGAGCCTTCCTCCGAGTCCGACTCCATCCTGTCCTTCATGTCGGGGCTCTCGGTGGGCTCCACGCTGCAGCTCTCCCTGGGCAGGCAGGACAAGCAGCGGCCCGGCAGCGCCTCCGGCCGGGACCCAGCGAGGAGGGAGCACAGCAAGGGCCGCCCGGAGCGCAAGGACGCGGCCGGTGCCCGTCCCGCCGCCCGCGCCAGCTCCAGGGCGGAGCGGAGCCCGGCGCCCGCCAAGCCGGTGCCCAACCTGCCCGTGGTCTTCCGCGGCAGGACCGTCATCTACATGCCCAGCCTGGCCAAAGATGCCCCCAGCCCACGGGCCACCCCGAAGAAGACCCCCGGGGCCAAGCCCGAGGCGCCGCCGGCCAAGAACCTCTCGCTGAGCCAGCAGCGCTCGCGGAGCCTGCACCGGCTGGGCAAAGCCCCCGAAACCGGGGAGCTGGCGCTGCCCAAGAGGAGCACGACCCCGCCCGCCCGCATCGGCAAAGGCCCCCCCTCCTCGGGCTCCTCCCGCACCTCCACGCCCTCCCAGCACGCCCCCAAGAAGCTGCCGTCGCCCTCCCAGGTCACCAAGCAGGGCGGCCCGGCCACGGGCAAGGCCAGCGGCTCCTCCTCCCCGCCGGGACCCCCGGGCAGAGCCCCGGCCCCCAAATCCCCGGCTCCCAAGCAGTCCAAGACGCAGAAGTCGCCCGTGCGCATCCCCTTCATGCAGAAGCCCAGCAGGAAGGTGCTGCCGGGCCGGGGGGCCATGCCGGTGCTGGAGGAGCAGGTCGATGGCTCCAAGGCTCGGCCGGGGGGGCCGGGGGGCAGCCGGCTCAACCTGGTGCGAATGTCATCCGCCCGCTCCAGCGGGAGCGACTCGGACCGCTCCGGCTTCCTGCGCCAGCTCACCTTCATCAAGGAATCCTCGAGCCTGCTGCTGCGGCACCGCTCCGACCTGTCCCCGGCGCCGCCGGCCACCTCGCTGCCTCGCCGGGGCTCTCCGCAGCGCAGCCGAGCCGCGCTGCCGGCCGTGTTCCTCTGCTCCTCCCGCTGCGACGAGCTCAAGGCGGCCAAACCGGCGACCCCCGGCCAGCGGCCGCTCATCCCCAGAGCCCAGCCCGGCGGCAAAGCCACGGCCGGGGCCAAACCGCCTCGCCGGACCAGCTCCGAGAGCCCGTCCCGGCTGCCGGTGAAGAGCAGCGTGCCCGCGGCCGAGCCCTTCAAGCGCTACTCGTCCTCGCCCAACATCAGCGTGGCGCGGCGGGCGGCCAGCCCGTCCTCCGTGCGCTCCGAGGCGGCGGCGCGGCGGCGGCAGAACGAGCCGGCTCCCGGGGGGCCGCAGGGAAAGCCGCCGGTGGTGGTGATGAAGGGCACGTGGCGGAGGATCCGCGACGAGGACATCCCGCACATCCTCAAAAGCACGCTGCCCTCCTCCGCGCTGCCGCTGGCGGGCTCCGCCGACGAGGAACCCCCCGGCACCCCCGGCACGCCCAGGAAAACCAGCGACGCCGTGGTGCAGACCGAGGACTTCGCCACCTCCAAGACAAACTCCAGCACCTCTCCCACGCTGGAGACCCGCGAGGGACCCCCGCACCCCCGCGCCACCGGCGACGGCGAAGCCCCCGCGCCCGCCAAGGCCGCCCTGCCCATCTCCTTCGGGCACGAGGCGCCCGCCGGGACCTTCCCCGGCAGCCGGCACGGCTCCCCCAGCAAGGCCGCCCGTGTCACCCCCTTCAACTACGTCCCCAGCCCCATGGCGGTGACGGCGGTGGCCGACAAGGCAGTGGAGAAAATCCAAGCTTGATGATGCCCCAGCGAGGGTCCTGCGACGTCCCCAGCCCCACAGGAGCTGGCCAGGACTGTGTTTGGGACACACGTGGGGATGTGGGACAGCAGGGGACCAGCGAGTCACCCCATCCCGCTGCTGGCCCCGGCTGGGGTCTTGCTGTGCTGAAGCATCATCGTTCCCAGCAGGAAGGACTGGACAGAACTGGGACCGTTCCGGGTTCAGCCCGAGCTGGGGTTGTTCTCATGGACCATCCCCTCCCACTGATGGACGCCCAGGGACGAGCTGAGGTGGGGCTGTGTCCCCGTGTGCCCCCATCCTGCTCACCCAGGGGCTGAGCCAGGGCCTGATCCCACACGCCCGGGAGCTGACACAGCACATGCAGGAAAACCCCACACGCTCCAGCCCGTCTGGCACCAGCTCTGGCTCATTTATTAACAGGGAAGGGATGCAAAGGAGAGGATTTGGAGGGGGAGATGGGGACCAGGACCCCCGTTTGGAGGGCCAGGACCCCCGTTGGAGGTTCCTGATGGCTGAGGGTGACCTGTGCTGGTCGGAGGGGGTGGCAGGAAATGGTGCAGGAGGAGCCGGGCAGGGCTCGTGGGGGTGGCCGGGGTCCCGATGGGCTCATCCCAGGGGCTGCTCACACGGTGCTGTCACCAGGCTGGGGGGCTGCTCTGGGAGGGGACAGGGTGCTGAGCTGGCACCAGGATGCCCAACCCCCAGGAAAGGGTCTGGGGTCCCTCACTTCCACCACAGCCCCCCAGCCTCCCACCCGCAGGGCAGGAGAGCCTCGGCTTGCAGCCAGGATCCCGGTGTGTCCTTGTGGATGTGGACACGAATCCATCCAGGACTGGATTACGCCCACGAGCACGGGGCCTGCCAGCCCCAAAACCCTGGGGACACCCCCACTCCTGCTGCCAGCCATGCCCAGGTGCCAACTTTGGGAAGTGCCTCAGCCCCGGGGATGGGCTGCAGAGGGACCCCCAACCCAGGTGGTCCCAGACCCCTTGGATACCTCCAGTCCTGCACCATCACTCCCTCCTTTGGGTGGGGTGACTTGTGCCCCCCCATCCCAGTGCCACGGGGGGACTGTAGGGACAGACACAGGGCTATGGGGACATGTGCAGGGGACACACCTGGGTGGCTGTGGGGACACAGTGAGGAGCTCTGGGCTGCACTGGGGACACACAGTGGGGCCAGGGAGACACCAGGACCATGGGGATACGCAGGGGGTCCCCAGGGATGGGCACTGGGGTCGTGGGGATGGGCACACCCCGGTGCCCACTGGAGCCCCCCTGCCCTGGCAGTGCCCGGCATGGAGGGACCAGTAGCCGGGACTGAAGAAAAGCAGGAAAATCCCAGGAGCATCACTCCCGAGTGCTGTAACGGAGCGCAGGGGTGGCAGGAGGGCCAGCATCGCCCCCCGGCTACAAGCCACCGCCCTCCTCCTCCTCTGACAATCCCGCCGGGCTCCGCTCGCCGTCACTGTATCTATGTACTAAGGATGTTATTTTACCAGATTCTGGACAGTATTCCCAATTAAAAGCCAACCTGTGTAAATAGGAAGTGGTGTTTGGTCTATCCCGTGTGTTTGGGCTGGCCGGATCCGCAGCCCCTCCGCAGCGTTTTCTGGATCCATTTCTTGTATTTCACGGTCGAGGTGGCCACGGGTGGCTTGAAAGGGTCAGCGGCGTTCTTGCTGTTGAAGGACATCACTCCGGCCACTGCCGGCCGCTTCCCGCACACCAACGGCCCCCCCGAGTCACCCTGGGGGGGGTGACACCGGGGAGTGGACCAGGCGACAGGGACCCCCACCATGGCCGGGAGAACATCTCACCTGCTCAGGGTGAGCATCCCCCCGCAGCCGGGCTCGGCTTTCTGTAGACCTTGGACCCGCAAGCTCTCACCTTGGCGGGGCCCGAGCCGCGGTGCTGCCCGTGGAAGCAGATCATGCCGGGGCCGATTTCACCGCGCCAGAAGCGGCTGTTGTTGCACATCCGCTTGTCCATCACCGTCACGTTCAGCTCCTGCAGGGTGGGCGACAGCCTCCGGCCCTGGCGGTCCACGACCCCCCAGCCCGCCACGCTGCAGCGCGCCCCCGGCGCCGGCTCCCGGCTCGCCAGCGGGATCAGCTGCCGTGTGCTGCTCAGGGTCACCTTCCCGTCCAGCTGCGGGCGGGGGGCGGCGTCAGAACCCCCCCATGGGCAGAGGAGCTGGCAGGGAGCACCCCCACACCGCGGGTGGGGGGGGTCAAAGGGGAGCACCCCAGTGCTGCAGGCGGGGGATTGAGGGGGAGCTCAGGGGGACAAGGGGAGCACCGCCCTTGTGCAGCGCCAATGGGAGCTGGGAGATGACACCCAGGTGTGAAATCTCTTGGGGGTGAGAAGAGGAAATGTCACCCCGCCGCTCGCCCCGGCTGCGAGCGCAGCTGCACCGACCCCGCGCGAACACCCCGCCCTTCCCGGCGGCGCTTCCCGGCACCGCCGCCGCTCCAGCCCCGCTCGGAGCCCTCCCCGCGGCCGGCCCGAGCCCCACCTGGAGCAGGAGCAGGTCGTTCTCCATCGTCCGTCGGTTGTAGCCGGGGTGGGGACAGGCAGCCCGGATGGAGAAGGTCTGCGTGCTCGCCCCGCGCTTCTGCCACTTGTGCAGCCCCACCACCAGCCGCCCCTTGTCCCACGACCTGCCCCGCGCCGGGAGCGGGGTCAGCCCGGTGCCGCGCACCCGGAGCCCCGTCCCCTCCCCGGGCAGGACGCAGCCGCGCCGGACTCACCCCCGAGGCCGGCAGTGCGCGGCCGTCAGCGCCCAGCTCCGCTGCAGCAGCGCTGCCCCGCAGGCGTGAACCCCCCGGAACTGCAGGGACACCATGTAGGGCCGGGAGCGAGGTTTGGCCTCGTGTCCCCCGATGATGGACGGCTGCAGCCAGGTCCTGTCCCCACCAGCTCCTGCCACCGCCCCGGCCAGTGACTCCGAGCCCACGCCGGACCCACCGGCCCGGTGCTCACCCCACGGGAGGGGCGGCAGCAGCAGCAGCAGCAGCGGCCCCAGGCAGCCCCTCGCCCCCATCCCGCCCTCTCCGCGTCTCCCGGTGCAGCCGCCGAGCTGGAGGAGCCCCGGGTGGCGTGTGACAGCGGGGCAGGGCAGCAGCGGGGCAGGGATGCAGCTCAGGGGGGCAGGAAGGGGAAGAAGCACCCACAAGGTCACACCTGTGGGGGTGGGAAACACCCACGGCCCCCCCAGCGCTCGGCTCTGCAGACAGAAATTGACACCCTCAACTCCAAAAATGCGGGTTTGTGACATTTGTGACAGCCCACAGCGCTGGCTGACCCATTCCCACCACCTTTATTAGCAAAACAGGGCAGTTTTTCACACCATGGGGCAGTGCTGGCCCCCGACCCAGCCCCCCTGGTGGTCCCTCAGTTCGTCCCCTCGGGCAGGACCCGCATGGCCCCGCTCCTTGGGCGGGACCTCAGGCTGGCCAGCAGCCGCTGGAAGAAGAACTCGTTCTGGTATTCCAGCGGGACGAGGTGCTGCAGGAACGGGGGCACCTGGGCCCTGCTCACCCCCACGCACACAGGGACCACCCTGGGGCCGCGCTGGTGGACATTGTGGAACAGGTTCCACTGCGACACGCGCTGGCACCACCGGTCACCCAGGGACTTGGCCGAGAGGAGCAGGATGGCCACCCGGCTGGCCTCGATGACCTCCACGGCCGAAAGGATGACGGATGTCCCCGCCACTTGGTCCTGGTGCTCGGTGAAGCCCCGAAACCCCTCGTCCCTCAGGCGCTCCGCGATGCGGGAGGCGACGTGGTCATCCTCGGGGAAGTACCAGAGGGAAAAGTCGTAGGGAGCAGAGGACGTGCCACCCACGGGGGACATGGCAGCCGGTTCAGGGGCAGAAGGAGGGGTGCAAGCTTTTGTCCCAGCAGCAGGAAAGTGCCACCGTGCCGGCCTGGCGGGTCCCGGTGTTTCCTGGGAAAAAGTCACTGGGGTGGCACAGCCGGGGCTGTCCTGGCAAATCCGGATCCTCCCGATGCAAACGGCTTTGGGAAGGTGAAACCACGGCGCGGCGTGTCCCGAGGCGCCCAGCACGGTCCCTCAGAACGCTTTCTGCCTCATCTCGGCGATGCCGCGCTCCAGCGCCTCCCCGACCCTCTGCAGCTCCCGGCGCCGCTCCCGCAGCCGCTCCCGGGACTGCTGCAGCCCTGCGTTCATCCCCACGTAGGAGCGGACCTGCCGGTAGAGCCGCTCCCGCTCCTCGGCCGCGGGCTCGGGGCAGCCTGGCGGGCAGAGCCGGGGCTCAGCGGGGCCGGGGGGTCCCCGCGTCCCCCCTTCCCCAGCGAGGGCTCACCTGGAGCGGGGCCGTGGTCCTGGGGGGGCTCGGCGGGCAGGACGAACACGGGGTCGGAGGGGAGCGTGCCCTGCACGTCGGCCAGGATCTGCTCCGCGCTGGGGGGCTCAGGGCGGGTGGGCAGCACCCGCTTGGCCTTGGAGCTCATCCCGGGGCGGGGGGTTCATGTGGGAGGGGCTGCGGAGGGCGGAGGTGAGGGCGCTGCGCTGCCCCCACCCCGGACGGACAGACAGACAAGCACACACAGACACCTCCCCTCCCTGTTTCTATCCCCCCAAGACGGACAGACCCCCCATGGACAGACAGACGGACCCCCCCCCCCGCAGCAGGCAGAGCCCCCCTCACTGTGCCCCCGGAAGGACAAACAGAACACGCCCCCACCTTCCCCTCCGGACAGACAGACAGACAGACAGACACCTGCCTGCCTGCCTCCCAAACAGACACACAGATCCCCTGTGCTGCCCACTCCCCGAGACAGACCGACTCCCCCACCCCGCCCTTTGAACGGACAGACAGACGGACAGCCCCCTCCCTGCCCCCCCCCCCGCCGCTGGACGGACAGACAGACAGACAGAGCCCCACCCCCGCACAGATAAACCGGCCCCCTCCGACCCCGGACAGACAGAGCGCCGTGAGCCCCCCACAGGACAGACCGACCCCCCGGACCGCAGACGGACCAACAGACCGACACACCGACCCCCCTATCCCGGCCGCACTTCCTCCACGCCCCGGATACGTCATCGAGACGGCCCCGCCCCTTTCCAAGAGGCTCCGCCCCCAGCTGCTCTTAAAGGCGCCGCGCGGGGTCGCGGAACACGCGGGACGGGAGCGGCGCTGGGGGGGCACCGGCGTTTATTGGGGGACGGGGGAACAACAGACTCGGACCGGAGAAAGTCGGGATCCCGGGCGGTACGGCCCGGGCTGGCCGGTACCCTTAGCAGGGCCACGGCGCCGGTACCGGAGTCTGTGTGGGGGACCTCGGTGCCAGAACGGAGGATGCCGGTACCAGTACCGGGAGCATGGTGCCGGTACCGGCGTTTGTCGTGCCGGTATGGGGGACTTCGGTGCCAGAACGGAGGATGCCGGTACCAGTACCGGGAGCGCGGTGCCGGTACTGGTCCCAGTACCGGGGCTGTAGTGCCGGTACCAGTGGCCCCGATGTCTCTGTTACTTCACCTTCTGCACTAAATCTGCCAGGTTCAGGGATGTTTTGACGCCTGTGGAGACACGGACGGTGTTAGTGCCCGTCCCCGGGGCACTGCCCGGTGTCCTGGCCCCGCGTCACCGTCCCGGTCCTGCTGAGCACGGCGGTGACAGCCAGCCCTGCCCTCCCCGCCCCCGGTGGGCTCCGGAGGGAGCCCCAGGTCGGCAGCAGCGCTGAGGGGCACGTGGACACAGGGATGGACACAGGGATGGACACAGGGATGGACACACGGATGGACACACGGATGGACACACGGAGAAGCGGGAGGGAAGCGCCTCCTCTAGCCACGCCACGGGAGAAAGGGCCGGTTGTGCGGGAGCAGAGCGGTTCGGGCGGTGCCGCGGCGGGCACGAGACCCGGCCCGGCCCCGTCCCCGGCAGCCGCGGCTCGGTACATACGGGCAGGCTGGGCTGCGGGGCCACCCCGGCCGCCAGCCGGGCTCTGCTCTTGGCCAGAGTCTGCAGGACTGGACCGTGCAGCGCAGAGAGGAGAGAGAGGTTAGACAGGGCACGGTGCCCCCCGGGGCTGCCCATGGGCACCGAGAAATAATCACCCGCTGCTAATTAACGAGCTGCCCACGCCCCTGCGCTGGGAAAACCTGGACACGGAGCAGGGTGGAGGGACGGGGGGACCGGAGCTACCTTCTCGGGTGACAGAGGACGCCGCGTCCAGGGCCTTGGTGCCGATGTCACCCATCATGTTGTCCACGGCCTGGTGGTGCTTGAGGAAGAAGGGGCGGATGACGCTCTGGTAGATGAACTGGGAGCCGTTCCAGGGCACTGGGGCCATGCACCACACCAGGAACAGGCACTGCAGGGACAGGAGGGGCTCAGCTGCTCCAGTCCGAGGCTGGGCTCACTGCAGGTCCCAGAGTCTGGGCTGGGTGCAGCCCCTCTGATGCCTTTAAGTTTTAGCTTTCGTATTTTCCAGATTCTGCACTGCATTGGTGAATAACTCTGAACTTCATATTAAAGTGTCAGCAAGTTCTCCTCACAGCTCAGTCACACAGAACAATCCTTTTCCAGCCCAGAACCAAGGACACAGCTGCAGCTTCAGGCCCAAAAAGTGCAAACAGCAGGGAATGGAGGAGAGCAACCTGAGAGGATGGGACTGCACAACTTGGAGCTGTAACTGGACAATTAACCCCAATATGGAAACGGACCAAAACTTATAAAAGTGTGAAAACTCGTGACCCGGGGCTCTTGCACTGCCCAAGGTGAATCCTTTGAAAGCCTTTTAATAAATCCCTACTTTATTCCTTTAACTCTGCCCGGCTCTGTTCCAGGGAGCCTCTTTGGGCATCTCCACCAGCAGAGCCCACCACACCCAGCTCCTCCCGTCCAGCCCCGGGCAGGAGGAGCCAGCACAGCCCTCACCTTCCCAGCGTAGTAGAAGGGGAACCAGTAGAGAAAAAGGTCAGAGAAGAACTCAGCGATGCTGAAGATGCCGTAGACCACCCAGTACGTGAGCCACACGGTGTCATCCTCCTTGTTGTTGCTCTCGATGGCTTTGATGCTGCGGCAGGACAGGGGAAGGAGGGGAGGACACGGCTGCAGCAGCTCTGGGCTGGGCTCCACCTTCCCAAATCCTCCACACCCCGCGGGGAACCTGCCCGCTGCGCTGGCACGGCCCCAGCCCTTCCAGGAAGGTCTCAAGAGCTTCCCAGCCATAATTGCTTCTTGAGTGAGCGGGGAGACCCTCAGCGAGGGGCGGGGAGCGCTCTCCAGGTGTGGGACAGGTACTTACGAGACGTAGGCGGGGTAGACGAAGCCGATGATGTTGCAGAGCAGGGAAGCGCCGTAGCCGAACATGAGGTACAGCCCCAGGAAAGCCACGGAGCCTGTGGGGGACAGGGGACGGTCTGGAGCCTGCTGCCACCAGGGGAGACCCCGCTGGGTCTGCTGAGCGGGATTCTCATTCCAGAGGGGAACGGGAGTGTGCCGGGGGGTAACGACCACCCCCCGTTAATTCCGCTGAGGCGCTCGATGGAACGAGGACCGTGGAGGAGTCCGCTCCTCCCCGAGGGACCCGTGACCCGCTCCTGTCACCGTCTGTCCCCTCCCCTGGCTCGGAGGGGACTTTACCACCCCGATCTCGCAGCACTTTCGCCCCTGGAGCGGGGCCAGGGCGGCAGGAACCGGAGACGCTGACAACACGCCCGTGGTCCAAAGTCAAGGCTCCGCTCGTCTCCCCCGGAGCCGCTCGGCATTCCCCGAGCTCCGGCTCAAGGACGAGCCCTGCTCCCGGATCAGGCTGCCGGCACCGAGGAAGGGCTGGCTCCCCTGGGAGCGGCAATCCAACCCCGCTGCCCCGCTGCTACTCAATTAGATCGTTCAATTAATTGTGAGCCGCAGCCTTTGCCCAGCGCCCGGACGCTCGCAGGAGGCTGGAGCAGCGGAGCCTGGGTGGGGAAGGTGGGACAGGGGTGGGATTTTGGGGTGGAAAGCACGGCAGAGCCGCGCTCTCAGCAGGGCTCAGAGGGCAGGGAAACCTCAGGGATACTCGGGATGGAGCCCAGCACCGGAACAAATTCCCAGCAGCAGCAAGAAAGCCGGGAATTAACCTGTCTGTGAGGGTGAGTTAAAGCCCTTGCTCGGGCTCGGAGGGTGGATAATCCCGGCTCTGCTCGCTGCAGCATTCCTGGGCTGAGCTCCGGATCCGGGCACCCACAGCTCCGGGTCTTTCCTGGGAGACGGGCAGGAGCAGCGTGGCTTTGGAGCAATCCCAAAGCTCCCTCCAAGGAGGGCAGGCAGGTCCAGGCAGTGCTGGGTTTCATTCCCCAAGAGCCTTAGAAGGGATTTCACAGGATTTTAACCCCCAGAGAAATTTATGTAACAGCAAAAGCCCAGGAAAAGGCTTTGCTGAGGGAGTCAGAGGTGGTGCTGCCCAGAGGTTGCTCCAAACCCCAGCCCATGGTTCAAACACAAATTAGCGAGGGAGAAATCAGGAATTTTTAGTTCAGCAACAGCTTCTCCTTCCCAGGACAGGGATCCAGAATGCAGAACCATCCCTTTCTGCTGTGTCCACTCTTGCTCTACCCCAGAAGTCCATCACGGCTGAGCCTGACCAAATCCCCAGGATTGTTTTGCTTGGGAGATCCCTGAGTGGCACCACATCCAAACACAACCTGCACATAGCACGTGCTCCTCCACGGACACTTTTGCCCTCAGAGTGGGAACACCAGCCCTGCTGCAGGTGAAGGGCCAGGAAATCACACCTGGAGCCCCAAGGCTTTCAGGGACACGGGAAACAGGGAAGCCCCGAGCTCCCCCGGGAGGTTTGATGTGAAATCTGGAATTGGAGCACGTGGATGAGGCCAGCTCAAGTTGGCAGAGAGGGCACAGGGCCGAGGGTCAGAGGAGAAGGATCCAGGAGGAGGATCCCTGGGGAGAATCCGGCTGGCTCCTCATTAATGAACAACAGGGATCCGGTTAAAGGCCGGATCCCCACGGTGCCACCTGTGGGACACGGGGACGAGCTCCCATCCCCAGTGCCTGCTCTGAGCCACCACGATCTGGGGGCTCACCCACAACGGGAACCCCCCCATCAGGGCCAGGGGTCTGGAGGGTCTCTCTGCCACCTCTGACACTCGGACCCTGCGAGCTTCAGGATTTCGGGATTTTGTGCCTGCGGAAGGCGAGGGCAGTGCGGTGACAGCGATGTCACCCCAGGCACCCCCAGCCCCCTCCCAGCACGGCCCCGCTCCGCACCCCCAAACCTGCCTGCCCGCCCTCCCCGTGCCCCCGTGCTGAGCCCAGAGCCACGCTGAACAGCTGCCAAGGCGCCCCACGATCCGGAGGAGAAGGAGACAGAACGGGAGAAGCCGGGAGGCCCCGCGGTACCGGTCGCACCTGTGGCCAGGTAGAGCCGTTGGACGCCGGTACGCGCTTCCAGCTGAGCCAGCAGGTCGCCGATGGGGCCGGGGCTGTGCAGGAAGCGCTCCAGGCGCTGCAGCACGGTGGCCATGGCGGCGGTGGGAATGATCGGGAGCGGCGGCGGCGGCGGCGGCCCCGGAGCGACCCCGACCCCGCGCCCCGGTCAGAGCGGCCTGGGGGCGTGTCCGGGGGCGTGTCCAGCGGGAGATGGGCGGTGCAAAGAGGAGGGGCGGGGCCAATGAGAAGGCGGGGCGGGGAGGAAGGCGGGCCAATGAGGAGAGGCCGTGCGGAGGGCGGGGCGGACGCCGTTGCCATGGCAACGCGCGCAGCGGCCTCATGGCGGCTCGGCCCGGGCCAGGCCCGGCGCTGGCGCTGTCGCTGTTCCCGGTGCTGCTCGCGCTGCTCGTGGTGGCCGCCACCGCCCTTCCGAGCCCCGCCAAGCCCCGCGTCTACCTGAGCAGCTGGGCAGTGCGGGTGGCGGCGGGGCTGAGGGACGCCCGGGCCCTGGCCCGCCGGCACGGGCTGCTCTTCCTGGGCCAGGTGCGGCCTGGGCGGGCCCAGCCCGCGCCGTGTGCCCCTGGCCCGAACTTCTTGCTCGTACCCGCCCTGTGTCGCCACTGTTTGTCCCCTTTGTTTGTCCCATGGGCAGGGACATCTTCCTTTAGGCCAAGCCCCATCCAGCACTTCCCCTCAAACACATCCTGGGGATCTGGGAATGTTGTGCCAGCATCCCCCAACCCTCAGAGCAAACGGCCTCTGATCATGCAGGGGTCAGCGAGGGACCCCCAAGGGCACCCAGCCCCTCCCAGGACTCCATTCTGTCCCCAAGTGACACCTCCTGCTTGTCCTGCACTGCAGTGTTCCATTTACCATCCCGACCCCCTCAGCTGGCACAGGGCTGGCACCGCTGGCCCCTAGAGAAGCTGACAGCAGCTCTTGGTGCCCGCAGGTGATGGAGGGAGAGCCCTTTTATCACTTCAGCCACCGCGGCACCAGGCAGAGAGCCCTGAGCAGGCACTGGGGGTGGCACATGCGGCTCAGCAGGGACCCCCAGGTAGGGAGGAGGGCACGGGGAGCCAGGGCACAGCTGTGGGCAGGCACTGCCCGGCACCCACAGCGCTGCTCCCTGCCCAGGTCCTGTGGTTCGAGCAGCAGACGCTGAAGAGGCGCTCCAAGAGAGGCACGGGCGTGGTGCCCACGGATCCCTGGTTCCCCAAGCAGTGGTACATGGTGAGACCAGGCTCCTGCCCCTCCTAATCCTCACCCAGTCACGGCATGGAGGGGACCAGTGGCGCATCCAGTGCCACCTCCCTGCTCGGCACCATCCCAGAGGGCACAGGAATGGCTATGGATTGTTCTGGGATATCCCCAGTCAGGGAGACCCCAGTCAGGGATATCCCCAGTATCTGGGATATCCCCAGTCAGGGAGACCCCACGGCCCCTCTGGTCTCTGTGCAGGGAGAAGTTCTTCCTTCTGTGCAGGGGGAATTCCCGGGATCAGTCCCTGCCTTTTCCTCTGGCGCCATTTCTGGGCCCTGCCGTCAGGGAGACCCCACGGCCCCTCTGGTCTCTGTGCAGGGAGAAGTTCTTCCTTCTGTGCAGGGGGAATTCCCGGGATCAGTCCCTACCTGTTCCTCTGGTGCCATTTCTGGGCCCTGCCCTGAGCCCCCCCTGCAGACAGGGACACCCAGGGCTGAGGGTCCCTCTCGAGGCTGAACAGCCCCAGCTCCCTCAGCTTCTCTTTGTCAGGATGCTCCAATCCCTTCCTCAACTTTGTGACCCTCCACTGGACCCACTCCATGTCCTGAGGAGCCCAGAGCAGGGCACAGCACCCCAGAAGTGCCTCCAGGGCTGAGCAGAGGGGCAGGATCCCTCCCTGACCGCTGGCAATGCCCTTCCCGAGACATAAACCAAGCTAACACCGGCAGCGATGAGCCAGCACCAGCTCCTCCGAGGTGACCCCGGGCTGCAGATCAAATTTAATCTCTTTTCCAGAACAACGACATCCACCCTGACCTGAACATCCTCACGGCCTGGAGCAGAGGCTACACGGGGCTGGGGGTGGTGCTGACTGTCCTGGATGACGGGCTGGAGAAGGATCATCCCGACCTGGCTGCCAACTACGTAACTATGGGGGGATCCAGGGAGCTGCTCCTGCAGGGAAGGGGGGGGTCAATGCCTTCAGCCCAGCCCTGGCACTGTGCAGAGGGAGCTCGGCCTCTCCAGGGCTGGATCCAAGGTTTGGAGCCTCCCGCAGTGCAATCTCCCTGTGAGGAAATGTTAGAACTTGTACAGGCTCTGGAGCCCCCAGAGAGGTGTAATTACAGCAAGCTGCAAAGCCAGTACGGCTGGTAAACCCTCCTGGGCTGCGTGGGGAGGGAAAGGCAGTCCTGGGGGTGTGGAACACCAGCCTCTCCGTGGCTCGTGGCTCCTCTCCCGGGGCCACCCAGGGTCACCCTCAGGTGACTGCCACGCTGGGCTCTGTCTGCTGTGCTGCTTCCACCCCTTTGTGCAGAACCCCAGGGTCACTGAGGCTGGAAAAGGGCTTCAGGATCATCGAGTGCAACCTGTGCCCACCTTGTCAGCAGCGCAGAGCACCGAGTGCCACCTCCAGCCCTTCCAGGGCTGGGCACTCCAAACCTCCCTGGGCAGCCCCTGACCACCCTTTCCATGGGGAAATTCCTGCTGCTGTCCCACGTGGCACCGCCTGAGGCTGTTCCCTCTTGTCCTGTTGTCCCCTGGGAGCAGAGCCCGACCCCCCTGGCTGTCCCCTCCTGTCAGGAGCTGTGCAGAGCCACGAGGTCCCCCCTGAGCCTGCTTTGCTCCAGGCTGAGCCCCTTCCCAGCTCCTGCAGCCCTCCTGGTGCTCCCTTCCTTCTCAGGACTCGACCAGGTCCCCCCCTGAGCCTGCTTTGCTCCAGGCTGAGCCCCTTCCCAGCTCCCTCAGCCCTCCTGGTGCTCCCTTCCCTCTCAGGACTCAGTTTAATTCCAGCTCCCAGGGCAGCTGGGCACGAAGGGGCCCCGCTGTCCCCAGAGCTGGCAGGCAGTGCCAGCGCCAGGCTTGGTGCCAGGCGCCTGTGCCAAGCTGTCACAGCCCTGCCCGGGCCCTTGGGCTCACGCTGCCACCTCGCTCTGTAACAGGACCCGCTGGCAAGTTACGACTTCAACAGCAACGACCCCGATCCCCAGCCCCGATACAGCGACAGCGACAAGAACTGGTGGGTCCTGCCCAGCTCCCCACACTGGGGGGGTCAGCTCTGGGGGGGCTGGGGCTGTCCCAGGCCCCCCACCCCTCACAGGGTCACTCTGTGCCCCCAGGCACGGGACACGCTGCGCAGGGGAAGTGGCAGCAGTGGCCAACAATGGGATCTGTGGTGCAGGCGTCGCCTACAACGCCAAAATCGGAGGTGAGAGGTTCCTCCCACGGGAGGGAAGCTGGAAATCAGCTGCAGCCCCTGTGGGGACACAGCTCCCCGGGGGGGAGCTCTGGGGTGGCCAGGGTGGGTGCTGCCCCGGGGGATTTGATGCTCAGCCCATCACCCAGCAGGGCAAGCTCAGGCTCCGCAGTGGAAGTGAGGGTGGCAAAGGGGGTTAAAAGCTGGGAGCACTCCCTGGGCTTAATTACAAAAGGCTTAACGAGGAGCTTTGGGAAGGGCTCATGGCAGGGCACAGACCCGTGTGGGACTGATCTCCTTAGGGCAGGGGCATGTGAAAGCTCCTCAAAGCTCTGAGGGGCCGAGGGGGGGCCTGGCAAGGTGTCCCCAGGCCCTGCCCTCGGTGTGGCACGTGCGTGGCTCCTGTCCCCTCGGAGCCACCTCGGCCTCTCCAGGTGCTGCTGCCTCTCAGCCACGGCTGCCTGCCCTCAGGTGTGAGGATGCTGGACGGCTCCATCACGGACATCGTGGAGGCCCAGGCGCTGAGCCTGCAGCCCCAGTACATCCACATCTACAGCGCCAGCTGGGGCCCCGAGGACGATGGCAGGACGGTGGACGGGCCCGGAGTCCTGGCTGCGGCCGCTTTCCACAGAGGAGTCATCCAAGTAAGCCCAGCCCTGGCCTCGGGGACAACAGGGACACGAGGACACCCTGCTCACCCCCCTCTGCTCCTCAACAGGGACGGGGCGGGCTCGGCTCCATCTTCATCTGGGCCTCAGGCAACGGCGGCACCAACTACGACAACTGCAACTGCGACGGGTACACCAACAGCATCTACACGGTGTCGGTGGGCAGCGTGCTGGGGGACGGGCACCGGCCCCTCTACAGCGAGAGCTGCCCTGCCATCCTCACCACCACCTACAGCAGCAGGACCACCAGCAAGGTGCAGATTGTGAGTGCCACAACAGCTCTGCCAGAGCAGCAGCTCCGGGGCAGACGCAGAGCCCAGCACGGGCTGGGCTGGTCCCAGTCCTCCTGAGCTTGGTGTCTGTGTAGAGCCTCAAAAGCTCAAAGGGACCTGAAAGGAGGATTTACTGAAGGTACTCAACCTCAGGCAGCTTTCTTGGAAATAGTCCTGAGACCCCCCTGTCCCCCCAGGTGACCACTGACCTGCACCACCGCTGCACAGACAAACACACCGGCACCTCCGCCTCGGCCCCGCTGGCCGCAGGCATGGTGGCCCTGGCACTGGAGGCCAAGTAAGTGACACTGAGAGGGACACTACCCAGGGATGAGAAAGGGGAGGGGCAGCAGGAAGGTTGGGGTGCAGAGTTGTGGCCTTTCCCCAGGCCATGGGACAGCAGGAGGGCTGTCCTCTGGAGCTCTCTGCTCCCACTGTGGCACTGAAGGAGGTTGTGGGGGGATCAACTTGGGCCCAGACAGTTGCTTTACCCATTCCAGAAGAGCCAAATCTCCCCCTTAGAAATGAACCCCCCTTAAAAATGTCCCCACGCCCTCCTTGCTTCCAGCCCAGCCCTGACCTGGCGTGACCTGCAGCACCTGATCATCAGGGCCTCCAAACCCGCTCACCTGCAGGCAGAGGACTGGGCCGAGAACGGCGTCGGCCGCAGGGGTGAGTGCAGGGCTCAGCCCCTCAAACACCTCCCAGCAGCCCCTGGTGGCACCGAGGGACTCACGGGTCCCTCTCTGGGTGGCACCTGTGTCCCAGTGAGCCACTACTACGGCTACGGGCTGCTGGACGCGGGGCTGCTGGTGCAGGCGGCCACCACGTGGACGGGGACTCGGCCCCAGGAGAAGTGTTCGGTCCAGGCCGTGCAGGTCCCCAGGTAAGGGACAGTGACCCCAGGCCCAGCCTCCCACGGGGACTTGCTGTGCCCACCACAGGCACAGGGACCCCACGGCAGGGGAGGGAACGCCCTCACCTGCAGCTTGTCCTCGGCAGGGACATTGGGTCCAAGCTCACCATCTCCACGGATGTCTCCTCGTGCTCCAAGAGCATCCGCTCCCTGGAGCACGTCCAGGTGCAGCTGTCCCTGAGCTACAGCCGCAGGGGGGACCTGGTGGTGGCTCTGAGCAGCCCCATGGGGACCACGTCCACGCTGGTGACAGTGCGGTAAGGACAGAGGGAGCACTGGGGCGCTCACAGCAGACTCCCAAAAAGGGGCTCACTGGGCCCAAAACTCCTCTGGACCTTTGCCACGTGGGAGTGCTCCCTCAGAGCAAGCACAGGGCGACCCTTCAGGTCACAGCCTGCCCCTGCAGGCCCCTGGGCTGGCACTCCCAGCTCTGCTCTCCTCCTCCAGCCCCTACGACACCAGCCAGGATGGCTACAAGGACTGGACCTTCATGTCCACTCACTTCTGGGATGAGAACCCCAAGGGGATCTGGACCCTCCAGCTGGAGAACAGGGGTGATGCCCAAAACACAGGTGGGTGCCCCATGGGGGGTGAGCCCAATTTTTACTGGGGTCACCCTGTGCTTGTTCATTCTTCCTCCCCCCACCCTTGGATGGGCAATTTGTTGGCTTCTCCTTCCTGGCCACGAGCCCTCCTCTGTTGGCCTTGAGGGTCTCCCCGGCCAGCACAGGACCAGGAGCAGGACACAACCCCAAAGCTTCCAGCCCCTGTCCCTCACCTGGCAGCCCCCTGTCCCTCCTGTGCCCAGGCCAGCTGAACAGCTTCACCCTGCACCTGCATGGCACGGATGAGGACATGCCAGCCAGGCGCTCCGCTGCCACCGCCACCGACGAGTGCCTCAGGAGGGACGAGCAGGGAGCCTGCCAGGGTGAGCGAGGCTCTGGGGGGGACAGTGACAACGCTCTGCTCCCCAGGGTCTCACCCCAGCCTCTCTCCACAGACTGTGGCAGCTCCCTGTACACCCACCACGGCTCCTGCCTGTCCTACTGTCCCCCACGTTACTACGGCCGGGCGCGGCGTGCCACCCCTAGGGACACTGCCCTTGTGTGTGCCAGCTGCCACCCCTCCTGCTACACCTGCCAGGGCTCCTCGGCCAACAACTGCACGTCCTGTCCCTCCGGCCACACCTTCCAGGACGTCACCCACACGTGCCAGCAGCCCGCAGAGGACTCCCCCAGCCCGGCGGGGCTGCACAGGCACCTGGTGGTTGTCACTGTCGTCGCCTGCAGCAGCCTGCTTGTGGCAGGGGTGCTGTACCCCACCTACCGCGTGGCTTTCCGTGTTGGCAAAGGAGCTCCGTGCTGTCCCCGGGTCAGGAGGACAGAGTGACGCCAGCCTGGGCTGCCGCAGGGACAGAGCAGGGATCGTGCCTGCCTCCCGAAATAAACCGGTTGTTGTCTTTCCAGCCGCCCCCTCCAAGGGTGATTCCCCTCCCAGCAGCGCCTGGGATGCTCCCACCCCTGTCCAGCTGTGCGGGGGGACAGGGGTGGTGGCTCCTCCCACACCCCTGGGGACAGAGCCGTCCCCGGAGGGGCCACAGCCCTGTGCCCTTTCCCAGGCACAGAGGGATGAGATGTGACTGTCCCCAAACAGCTGCACCCGTGTGGCCACGGCAGGAGCTCGGCCACCAGCTCATGTGGCTTCCAGCAGAGCAGAGGCCAGCCCAGAACCCCTCCAGGGTCCCCAGTTCCTGTTCCCCAGCGGCTTTAGGTCTTAAAAAAGAGTCCCAGGGTGGCCACCCTGTCCACGGGGGCTGGCAGAGGCACAGGGGCAGCTGTGCCCCGGCACACGGCACCCGTGGCACCGGGCACGGATGGGACAGGGAGAGCTGCCAGCTGGGGCCCTCCCGGTCCCCTGCCAGGACCCTGGACTGCCCCAGGACACTGGGGAGGTGGTTTGTGTGTGCCCCTGCCCCAGCACTGTGTGTTTGCTCAGCTGAAGAGTTCTGGGAATTAAGGCAGAGCCAAACTTTTTTCCAAGCTTATAATGACCCGTGAAAACCTTGGCTGGACCTTACAGAGCACGGGGAGGAGGGAGCCAGGATGGAGCCTTGTCTCCAAAGGCAGGGGCTCTCCTCGAGGGGCACCCCCCAGCCCCCAGGGATGAGCAGGCATCCCTGCAAACACCAAGGGAGAGTCCTGGCACAGCCATCCAGCCCAGGCCCGTAGGGCGAGGCGCTGGCTGCCCCCGAGCACAGCTTCTCCAGGCCTTCCTCATCCTGCTCCTCCAGGCTGGCCTAATCCTCAGCGGGCAGCTGGCAGGGCTGGAACCGCCGCTGGATCTCGGGGCGAACATCCTCCTGCAGGGCAGAGACGGGGCAGGGAAGGGCTGTGCTGGGGCAGGCTGTGCCAGGGCACCCGTCCCCTTCCTGTCCCCACGTCCCCCTTCCTGTCCCCCTTCCCATCGCCATCCCCACGTCCCCTTCCCATCGCTATCTCCACATCCCCCTCCTGTCCCCATCCCCAAATCCCCTTCCCATCGCTATCTCCACATCCCCCTTCCTGTCCCCATCCCCAAATCCCCTTCCCATCGCTATCTCCACATCCCCCTTCCTGTCCCCATCCCCACGTTTCCTTCCCGTCCCCAGGTCCTACCGCCTGGCCCAGCTGGCCCAGCACCGGGATGAGGCGCAGCAGCTCCTCATCCTCAGGGTCCCCAGCCCACGGTGGCAGCTGGATCCAGTTGGCAGCCTGCGGGGGGGACAGGGAGGAGCTTGGACCTCCTTGTCTCATTCGGGACACGCGAATCCCCCCCGGGAGCAGCGCTGCCCTACCTGGGCAGGGAAGCCCTGCATGGTGTGGTCCAGGGCCACCGTCCTGGCCAGGTCCCTGCCCAGGTGGGTCAGGTCCTTCCAGTAGCAGCCCTGGGAGCAGACACAATCCGACTGGGAGAAGCAGCGCCTGGCAGAGAGACAGAGCCATGGGGACCCCGCCCTGGCACACAGGGGGTCCCCAGCAGGGCACTGCCAGCACCATCACCTGATCAGCTTCTTCTTGGGGTCCAGCACCTCCAGGAGCTTCTTGGCATAGTCCTTCTTGGCCGTGGTGTAGATGAAGATCTGGCAGAGAGAGGGTGAAGGTCTCTGCATGGGCTGCTCAAGTCCTCCCCCAGCCCCCCAGGGGTCACCCCACACACCCCGGGGGCTCTGGGTACCTCATAGGTCTTGGAAAGGCTCTCCAAGAACTCCTGCACGTGTGGACGCAGCTTCACGTGGACCTGGGAGGGAACAGCACCTTGGAAAACCTCCAGCACCCCCATCCTGACAGCAAGGGGAGCCCCAGGGGGTGGGGTTCAGTGCCCTCAGCAGGATCCCTCAGCCCCTCACCCAGGGGATTTCAGAGCCCCTTCCCCTTCAGCTACAGGGGACATTGGCACAGAGGCCACATGGGGTGGCAGTGAAGAGCCACCTCATCCATGGCCCCAAATCACAGCTCCCCAAGCCCCCCCAGCCTCAACACCCACCGTCCCCACCCCAAGGCACCCACCTTGTAGGAACTCGCCTGGAAGTCCGTGGTGAAGGTGGCCGTGGCATCCTTCTGCCCGTGGGAGAGCAGGGAGGAGTAGAGCAGGGTCCCATCCTGGGGACAGGGAACAGGGTCAGGGTCAGCCCCAGCCCCGGCAGAGCCCCCCAGACCCCCCCCAGCTCACCAGCTCCAGGACCAGGGTGTGCTGCAGCTTCCTCCGGCCCCTGCCCCTCGCAGGGGTCAGGGCCCCGGGGCTCGGCCTGGAGGGGGAAGGCAGAGGGTCAGCACTTCTGGGGGGGCTGTTGGACCCCCCCCCCCACGTATTGGGGGGCTGTGGGGACCCCCCTCACACTCACAGGCTGGGGGCTGCAGGGGCAGCAGGGTCCTGATGCTCCACCTCGGGGAGCCCCGAGAAGAAGGAGCCCCCGGGGCAGGGCGGTGCTGGGGGTCTCGCAGGGTCTGTGGGGCAGAGGGGTCCCGTCAGCACGGCCAGGGCAGGCCCCCTGCCCCGCGCAGGGATCTCCCCGGGCAGGGATGCGCTCACCGCTTTCCCCGGGGCCGACACTCCCCTCGGGGCCCCGCCGGACCAGGCGCCCCTTCCCGGGCGTGGTGGGGGAGCTGGGGACCCTCGCCCACCCCCGCAGGACGTGCTCCCCCTCTCTCTGCCGGCTCTCGGCGCGACCACGAGCGGCAGCCCTCGGGGTCGAGAGCCCCTGGTCCTCCCTGGGGGGTTTCTTCGTGCGTGGGGTAGCCCCCAGACCCGCCATGGCTGGGACCCCGGCAGGGACAAACCCCCCTGCCCTCAGCAGCCCCAAATTAACCATCGGGTACCGGTGGGAGGGAGCATTTTTATAGGGTGGAGGCACCTTTGCAGCCCAAACCAGCCCGGGGCACCTGGAGTCACTCAGAATTTACTGGCACCAGCTGGGCTCAGCTCTGAGCACCCCCACCCCCCAACCCCCCCCAGCCCTCAGCAGCCCCAAATTAACCATCGGGTACCGGTGGGAGGGAGCATTTTTATAGGGTGGAGGCACCTTTGCAGCCCAAACCAGCCCGGGGCACCTGGAGTCACTCAGAATTTACTGGCACCAGCTGGGCTCAGCTCTGAGCACCCCCACGCCCCCCCCCAGCTGCTCCCGGGGCTCATTTCTGCCTCGTGGTGACGTCACCCGGTGTGACAAGGACCCTCCTGGGCTGGCAGCTGCCACTCGGGGCACCCCAGAACCCCAGTTTGGGGACAGTCCCCAGCCACACCAGCTGGGGCGGCGGGGGGGGTCTCAGCTTCCCCTGGCAGCAGCTCCGAGCCCACCCCCAGCGAGCCCCGAGCGGGTGAAGCCCCCCGGGGTGCCCCAGGTCACATCCTGTCCCCACAGGGGCCCCGCGGTGGCCGCCAGCAGCCCCAGGGTTGGGTTACGGGCGGGGGGGGCTCTGGCACTGGGGGGGGACACGCTCGGCTCCGCCGGAAGGGAGATAAGCGGGAGGTCCCCGACCCCGGCAGGCAGAGCCTGGCACGCGGCCAGGGGGACAGGGACACGCTGCCGGGTGGGAGCCGCTCCTGGGGCTCAGCGCGGGGACACGGAGGAGCCCCCCTGCTCATGAGGACACAGAGGCGACCCCCTGAAGTGGAGGGACACGGAGGAGCCCCCCTGCCCACGGGGACACAGAGGGGACACCCTGAAGGGGAGGGACACAGAGGCGACCCCCTGCCCACGGGGACACAGAGGGGACCCCCTGAAAAGGGAGAACCCCCTGCGCCAGGCGACCCCCTGAAGGGGAGGGACACGGAGGCGACCCCCTGCTCATGGGGACACAGAGGCGACCCCCTGAAGGGGAGGGACACGGAGAAGCCCCCCTGCCCACTGGGACACAGAGGGGATCCCCTGAAAAGGGAGAACCCCCTGTGCTGTCACCAGCCAGGAAGGGCCACGCGGCGATTGAGGGGATAAACAATTTATTTTCTGCAAAAATAATAATAAATTACCACCCCCCCCTCCACCCCCCGCTGCCACGCGGACCCCAAGGACGGCGAGATGGATGGGGGGGGGGTCCATTGGCATGGGAAGGGTTCGGTGCCCGGCAGGAGCACCCGGCTGGTCCTCGGGGTCCCGTCCCGGGGCGGTGACAGCGGGGAGGGGCTCAGGGCGGCCGGGGCTGGGGGCAGTGCCGGGCTGCCTCCCGCACCAGCCGGGCCTCGCGGGGCGTCCAGGGCCGGGCGTAGCCATCGTCCTGCAGCAGGATGCGGTTCAGGGTGTGCTCGTGGTTCACGTGGCGCCGCGCCATCAGCAGGTACTCGCCGCCCTCGCTTAGCGGGGGGCACCCGCAGGTGTTGGGCACCCACAGGTACTCCCGGGACACCAGCGGGAAGCGCTGCCGGTACCGAGACTCCACCTCCACCTCGTAGCGCGTCTCCCGCCCCACCAGGCGCCGAGCCAGGATCCGCCCGTGGAACACTGCGGGGTGAGGATGGGGCGTGCTGAGCTCCTTCCTGGCCCTGGCGTCACCCTGAGCCTTTTCCCAGCCGTGGCATCGCCTCTGGCATCACCCCAAGTCCCTGCATCACCCTGAGCCCCTTCCTGGCCCAGCAGCACTCAGAGCTCCTTCCCATCCCTGCCATCGCCCCTGGCATCACCCCAAGCCCCTTCCCATTCCCCTCATCATCCCTGGCATCATTCTGAGCCCCTTTCCACCCCCGGCATTGCCTCTGGCATCGCCCTGAGCACATTCCCGTCCCCAGCACCGCCCCCCGCTATCACCCTGAGCTCCTTCCCTCTCCTGGCACTGTCCCTGGCGGTGTCCTCAGCCCTGTCCCTCCCCCGCCACCCTCCCGAGCCCCTCCCGGCCCGGCGCTCACCGAAGTCGCTCTGGCAGAAGTGCCGGATGCGCTGCGAGCGCCCCTTGGGCGGGCGGCACCTCCCGCAGCGCCCTGCGGGGATAAAGCTGCAGCAATTTAGGGGGCAGAGGGGACTCTAGACCCCCAAAACACCCCTCACGCAACCTCGGGAGGGGAGGTTGAGGGTCCATACCCCAGAGAGGGTCACACGGGGCTCCTGAGAGCCCTGGCGAGCGCTTTTAGGGTCCTTTTAGGGTCCCCATCTTATTCCCCAACCTGGGCAGCCCAGGATGCTCCCAGCAGGGGCGCGGGGGGCTGTGAGGACCCCCGAGGATGTACCTGCGGCAGCCCCGTCCTGGCTCTGCCTGGGGGGGCTCCTCGGCGGTGGCTCCGTGGCGAAGCCCCCGGGCCGGGGGGGCTGCGCGGGGGCGGGGGTGTGCGGGGGCTCCGGGGGCGGGGGGCTGCCGGCCCCCCGGGGCTGCGGCTGCCGCAGGGGGCTCGTGTCACCGCGGCCGAGCTGGGGGTGCCCGCGGGGCAGCCAGGGGGGCCGGGGTGTGCTGGGGCTCCGGGGGTGGGGGGCTGCCGGCCCCCCGGGGCTGCGGCTGCCGCAGGGGGCTCGTGTCACCGCGGCCGAGCTGGGGGTGCCCGCGGGGCAGCCAGAACTGGTACTCGATGCCGGGGTTGGGCTCCTGCAGCAGCGCCTGGGGGGACACGAGCGGGGCTGGCAGGGGCGGTGGCAGCGGGGGTGGCTGTCCCCAGCCCAGCGTCCCCCTGTCCCCACCATCACGTGCAGGTCCTCGTGGGTGGGTCCGGGCGCCTCCAGGCTCTCGGTGCCGTCGGGGGCCCGGCTGTAGGTCAGGAGGGTGCCGGCAGCCTCGTAGGGCCCCGGCCAGGCGATGGCCCAGTCGCCGTTGAGGACGTAGCGCCCGTCACTCGCCATCAGCGCTGCGGGAGGGACGGCTCCGGTAAACCGAGCCCCGCACGGCCCCCGGGACCCCCGGCCGGGTCCCCACCGGAGGCCTCTCCCGGCGTGGGAGGGCAGCGTGGGCCGGGGAGCCGCGCTCGGGGCTCCGGGAATCCGCGTTCCTGCGGGATCTTGGCTTGGGGCCCGAGCCGCAGCCAAAGCCTGGGGTGTGCAAAGCCAGCCCCGAGCCCCCAAATCCCGGCTGGGATGGGGGAAGGAGCTCCAGCTGCATGGGAAAGGGGGCGGGGGTGGGGGTGGAGGTCCCGGTGCTGCAGTGGCCGCTCTGGCCCCGGTCCAGCTCAGCCCTTCCCAAATCGCGGCCGCGGCCTCTGGAAAATTGCCCCGAGCGCTTGCGAGTTCAGTGACCCCGCGATGCTCAAAACAGCATCCGAGGGAGGGAGCGGCACGGCACGACAAGGGACAAACATGGGACAAGCATGGGACAGCACGGCGTGACACGGCCACCCCGGCCCTGCCCTGCCCTGGCCTGCCCGCACACGCAGCTGGCACCAGCCTGGACCAACTGGGAGGGACTGGGATGGGGGAAGTTCGGGTCCTACCCAGGTAGTTGCGGCTCTTGTCCGTCACCTTGATGTGGGTGGCCCCGGCCGGGATCTTGGTCACATTCACATATCCCAAATATCCTGTGGGGGGGAGAGGGGGCAGAGTCAGGGCAGAGCCTGGGCAGGGCCCAGGGGGCATCACAGGGGAACAGAGAGGGAGGGGACGGGCACAGAGGGGAGCCGGGGCTGGGGCATTGACCCAGCTGGGCCCGATGTGCTGGGACATCAGGGACATGTGGGCATGGGGACTCTGAGTGCCCCCAGCACCCCTGGGGACATAAGAGACCCCCCCACACCCCAGGAGTGACCCCTTTGCAATGAGCTCATCTCCCCAAGCAAAGGGGCTGCTCCGAGCCCCTGTCCCTGCGTGTTGGGGACAGGGAGGGACCCTCTGGATGGGGGACAGGGAGAGGGGATGGGACAGCAGGGCACCCAGGCGATGCCTCGGGGACACGGATGAGGACAGGAGGACAGGAGAGCCAAGAGCCAAAGCATTCACCCATGGAGGGGGCCGGGGCAATGGTTCATTCACCGGAGGAGGGGTCCGAGCCCTGGAAGAGCCGGTGCACCAGGACACACGAGCCGTGGCCGCTGCCGCAGAGGCCGCAGGCGTCGGGGCGCGAGCCCGAGCCCAGGATCCCGTCACAGCCCACGCTCTGTGGGGAGCCCAGACACCCCCTCAGCGCGGGGTCTGGGGGTCCCGGGGGTTCTGGGGGGTCCCGGCCCTGCGCACACCCACCAGGCAGCGCCCGCCGACGCACAGGTCCGGGGAGCCGGGGCTGCAGCGGGTGCCGTCCAGCACCCGGCCGAAGCTGTAGTAGAAATTGTGCCCCTCGGCCAGGCAGTTGAGGTCGCAGAGGTTGGGGGCTGCCAGAGCAGGGCGAGAGGAGATTGGGGTGATGCCGGGGACAGCCGTGAGCCCCCGGTGATGCTGCCACCACGCCGGGACTCACCTCCGTGGAAGGGCACCCAGCGGTAGCGGGCGGAGGTGCCCAGGACGGGCCGGTTGTCGTAGAGGGAGCACTGCATGGCCCGGAAGGGCACGGAGCCGCTGGGGCAGCCCTGTGGGAGCACCGGGATGGAGCCGGGGGGCCGCCATGGGGAGCGGGGACAGCCCCGTCGGTGCCGTGGCGCTCCCGGCGCTCACCTGGAGCTGGCAGAGCCGGTACTGCCGCGGGTCCCCCGTGCACGGCTGCTCCTCCCTGGTCCTGCGGTGACAATGACAGCACGTGTCCCCCACAGCTGCAGGGCCACAATGCCACCGAGCCACCACAGGGGTGGTTCTGCCTGGTGGCACCAGGCCTTGGGTGCTGCTGCTGGCCCAGGGGCACACGAGGCGGTGACAAGGCTGTGCCGTGGGATTTGGGTGCCACATGGGGTTTGGGAGCTGGGGACACCCTGGGGTGGGGGAGGGGGGTCTGTGCTGCCCATCCCCCACTGACCTCAGGCACCTCCGGCTGCGCAGGGCGACGCCGTCCCCGCACGAGCTGGAGCAGGAGCTCCAGGGTCCCCAGGACCCCCAGGTCCCCTGGGGCCGAGCAGGGGCCGGGGGCTCGGGGACCCTCGCTGGTGTCCCCAGGGCTGGGTCCTGCGTGAGGAAGGTGATGGTTAGCGCTGGGGGTGGGATGAAGGAGCCCGGGGGTGCCCCAGCCCCCCCAGCTGCCCCCCAGCCCCCTCACCTGTGCCGTGCCCACCAGGCTGAGCCAGGCCAGCAGCAGCAGCCGCCAGGACCTGCGGAGCAGAGAGCCCTGAGCCATCCCCAGGGACAGGAGGGTGGCACCGAGCTGTCCCCCAGCCCAGCATCGCCGCCGAGGCGGGGCCACCGCCGAGCCCCCCCGGGGACCCCAGCGAGGGGCACGGGAGTGAGGGGGGGGCTAAGCCCAGACCCAGCGCGAGGGTCCCCAGGGAGGGGATGCGGGGTCTGGTGCCACCCAGGCAGGTGGGTGACACGCCATAGGCGATGCCGGCTGGTGACACAGGGTGGTGACACGGCGTGGGTGACGCCGTGTCCCCCACACGTGCCCACGCAGCCCCGGGACGGGCGACGGCCCCGCCGCCCCCAGGGCCCCGCGGCGGGCGCCGGGCCGGGATCGCTGCCTGCCGGGGCAGGACCAGACCTGCACGCCGGGGCTCCGCGTCGCTCCCCGATCCGGATCCGGCCCCTCCGTGGGGCGAGCAGGGTGGGGGGCAGCGGGAGGCCCCCACAGCGCCCGATCCTGCAGCACCCCAAAGCGCCCAGCCCGGCGGTGAGGGAGGTCCCGGGGGGGTGCGGGGGGTGCCGGGGTCCCGTTCCCGTGTCGGGGAATCCCCCGGCCGAGCCGGTCCCGTCCCGCCGCGCGGCTCCCACGGCGACCGGGGGGTCGCGGGTGGCCACCGGCAGCTCCTGGCTCTGGGTCCCCCCAGCAGGACAGGGGAAGGGCTTGGGGGTCGCGCTGCCGCCGCTGCGGGGGGGGGTGTTTGGAGCGTCCGGACCCCACCGAGGCTCGGGCGATGCCGGGTGGGTGATGCCCAGACCCCGCTGGCAGCGCGGGGGGCACCGCGTGCCTCAGTTTCCCCGCAGGAGTTCCGGGGGGGGGTGGCGCTGAGGCGCGGGGCTGGGGGGGGCGGTCC